CTTGCTTGCTTGCTTGCTTGCTTGCTTGCTTGCTTGCTTGCTTGCTTCCGTGTTTGGTTTCTTCTCTGCAAAGCAAACATATGGAAAAGCAAAAGCAAAAAGAGAAAGGAGAACAGCTGCCAAAGAGAAAGAAAGAAAGACAGAAAGAAAGACTGACAGAAAGAAAGATCGATGGATAGACGGATAGACAAACAGATAGAAAGATACGAGTAGATAGATATAGACAGATAGATGGATAGGTAGCAGATTTGGGAGCTGTCGTAGCTGGCAAACAGCCAGGCATATTTACACCATATCAGTGAACTGGCCAGACTTTAGTCAGGAATGAGGGAATGAAGGACTCACGCAAGTCCAAAGTTGGTAGCTTATGCCAGGGGGACAGGGCGGCGCAAAAAGAATATATTTCTTACAGATATATGATGTATATATATAAATAAAATCAAAAAAATAGATTTATACGATCGAAGAACCTTGGCAGAACATTTCAACTTGTTGGCAAACACGCACAAACGCAACCCACGCCACATGTATGCAATTGGTGTTTGGAAAATTTAACAAAGTAAGGATTGAATCAACATTTGTTGTTTAACGAAACTGGACTGGTTCAAAGGGTTGCTGACCAGCAGCCCTTGCCAACAAGTTGAGATGTTCTGCCAAGGTTTTTCGATCGTATAAAGTTGTTTTTTGATATTATTTGTATGTATATATATACATATATACCATATATATATATATCATATATATGTATTTTTTTTTTGCACAGCCCTGTCCCCCTGGCATAAGCTACCAACTTTGGACTTGCGTGAGTCCCTCATTCCCTCATTCCTGACTAAAGTCTGGCCAGTGAATGAAGACACGAAAAGCCAACCGAAGCCAACCGAAGCCACGAAAAGGCAAAAAAGCAACCGAAAACCAAAGTCATCAAAAGCCACCAAAAGCGAATAGCCACCAAAAGCCACCAAAGGAATCGTCTGGATGAAAACAAGACCGTCTTACATCTGGTAGCTGTGCCTCGGACTTCACATTCCTCCAAAGATAGACTAGTAGCAAACAGCCAGAAGCCACGAAAGCAACGAAGGCCAAACGCCACAAAAGCCACAGAAGCCACGGAAGCCACGAAAGCCAAAAGCCACGGAAGCCACGAAAGCCAAAAGCCGCAGAAGCCACGAAAGCCAGCCACAAAAGCCACGGAAGCCACAAAAGCCAGGAAAGCCAAAAGCCACAGAAGCCACGAGAAACAAAAACAATCACAAAAAAAACAAAAAACATCTAAATTAAATTGCCCTCCTACAAAATATTTCCGTGGCACGCTGTGGCCGGTGCAAAGCCTCGTTCTCGTCTTTTCCTTCCCTCACATAGCTCGCTTGGCCAAGGCACTGGTAGTGGGTCGCACTTTGCAAACCGTTGCCTTGGATCAGTTTAGATGCTTGGAACCAATTGGAACCTCCACGCCTCCATCCGTCCGAGACCATCAATTCTTTAATTTTTTTGAATTCAAGAAACACAGGCTTTGAATGTTATTCTATCAACTCCCTTTGACACTTTGCACAGCAGCGACGCCAGCAATTCTGATGTCAGAGCAATGAGCAACTCAAGTGTTCCCCAGTGCTCAAAAGATGCCCCCTCCCAGTCTGCTACAACCAAGGAGGAAAAATGCACCAGCGTTTTACAGTGTCAGCACCGCTGTCAGCACCGCTAGCCCAGAATTCCAATGCCACGAAGTCTTTTTGATCTGATGTCAGAGGATCATTTGGATCTCCAAGGCACCGTCACTGAAGATCAAGGTGTATTCCCGAAAGTAGGCACCACTCGCGGAATCCTTCTGGTAGTAGCATCCCTGCAATACGTGAAGTGTGACTTCTCATAACTTGGCCCAGCAAACAACGCCCCAACTACCTCTTGCTTTGTGCGCGTAAATGCCACTTGCTTTGTGCGCGCTTTGCGTTGTAGGAAGAGAACATGTTTTGTCCTCTGGTGATTAGAGTGTGTCTCAGGGCAAAGTTATTTGTCCTGCAGTTCAATGCGTGAGCACACCGTGGTGGAAGAGACTGCTGACAGTTGTGAGATCGCTTCACAGTTGTGACATGGAAGTCACAATGAAGTCATTTGGACGATGGATCACGGTGGAAGCGTGGAATCAAAGGAAAACCGTCCGAGTACTGAGACATACTGAGACAGTCTAACTCCACTCTGGCCTTGGGCATGGGAAAGCCGTCGCCCTCTGACCAAATCTCCTTCACGATGCGTCCACCTGAGAAGGGGGGCAACCTGCCACACTCACAAAAGCTCACCTCTGAGATCATTGGGTCAGGCCACCGAATTTGCACCCCGAAGCGCCACATTTGTGGGATTTGGTTGCGACAAACGTGCTTCGATCTATTTGACCCCGTGGCGATCGTCCGGTCAAAGGTCCAAGTAGATGCTCTTTGTTCCTAGTAGTAAGAATGCTCCGTTCGTAACGATGCCAGGAGCCCCTAGTAGCGTCCTAGTAAGGCCAGCCCTTTGTTGGTAGCTTCAGTCAATCTTGGCGCGTCACAAAAACACGTTTAATCTGCGTGTCCCTGTGTCCATCCCCATCAGAAAGTTGACCACCAGCTACAACTGCGATGGGGATCTCACAGCCTAAACTGATCAGTGCATTTTTTTGGGTGTCGAGCCACAGTGACTTTGTGTGGCAGCCTCTAAGAAGGTCTCCTCACTGCTACCCTGCGGCCCTGCAGGTGCCAACCTCGTGCCAAGACGTCAACTTCCATCGACAGTCATGACCGTTTCCCAAGCTTGAATGGACCAACTGAACACCTTCCACTTTCCGAATTAAATTCTAATTAAACTTCTATTTAATTTTAATCTATATTTATATGTATTTCTTGCTTCTATTAGCTTCTTGCTCCTAGTAAGGCCAGGAGCCCCTAGTAGCGTCCTTGTTCCTAGTAGCGTTGCCCTTTGTTTGCTCCTAGTAGCGTCCTAGTAGCGTGCCTTTCGGAAAGGACCAACTGAACACCTTCCAAACTCAATTTTATTCGGGAGGCATGTCCAAATGCGGAAAGCGAATCCGGAGTCGGTTCTCGCCCGGCTGTTGATACTCTGCATGGTGCTGTGTGGTAAAGGCAATAATGGCTGGCGCGACTGCTCCTCGCCAAGCTGAGTAGGCAGCTTATATATAAGCCTATATAACATTAAATCTCTCTCTCTCTACAGTATATAATATATAATATAATTCAATTGAATTTACATCTTACTGGCATTCGTGTCAGGTGATGCCAGGCTCAATTCTCCAAGTAGCATGCAGAGTTGAGTCCTTCTTCTCAGCTAAAATTCAATGTTCCAAATTAAAGAACAAACTGAGTGTTGTTACGACAATTATTTCTATGAATCCCAAGCTGTGTGTTCCAGGCTAACACGTTGAAGCAAGGCCTACCTTCTTAGGCCAAAGTGGAGTCCTAGACCCAATTCAAAGCCTTGGGTGAGAATGAGTGGATCGCAGCCGGAGTCTGTGAGGTTCCTGCTTGTGTAGCGGTGTTGTGCACGAGGGCTTCGAAGAGAGGAGGCTCCAATACAGTAAGCAAGCCGGCAGAGGCAGCGAAATCCATTGAATTCCTAGCAAACATATGAAAAATGCAAACGAAGGCAAATTCTAACTTTGTTATCCAGTTAAAGCATGTCTGCAAAACTCTAAAGTCGATGTGGCAATATAATGTGCATGTCTGAGGCTCGATGATGGCACTGCAGACCAACAAATTTGGTACTCCCCTGGACGGTCTGCCACAATGTCCTGTGAACTTGGTAGAATCATCTCTTTTCAATTCTTTTCACATCTTCAATTGGCACCAACAAGCTTCTTCGAAGTTCCACCTTCCAGTCCTGGAAGGTCACTTCGTTGGAACGGAAATAAGAGGCGTTGCTGAGCTGAAAGTCAGGAAAACTTTCGAAGCTTAGCTGCAGGACGAACTGCCTCAGAAAACCACTCGGGTACACGTCACGTAGTCATGGTGTGCGTTGCACCACCTTTACCTAATAGCGATAGCCGCTAGCCTCCAACCTACTAGCGATGGCCTCCACATGGGTTTCCCATGGTTTCCCGATGTATCACACAATGGTCCGCACAAAAGGAACATCCGTTCCAAGCTGCGAGGAGCTTGGCACCCGGATGATCCGATGCGGTCGCGAGGACAGCAGCTCTGCACAGTACTGACAGGAACTTTCAACTCCAATGAAGCTCACCTCGGGGACACGTGACGATCGTCATTTTGGCGGTGGAGGGTACACCTATAGTGGAAGTCCTTAGCAGATCTTACGACGGTCAGCTGTTCGAAGCTTCTCCGAGAGAGATAGGCGACGAAGCAAGCTTGCCACTGGAGCTCCGATCCGTGGGGATCAAAGGATATCAAAGGCGTCTTCGCTTAGACTGGGGAGTTTCGAGTGGCCGAATCCGCTGTGGTCATTCGGTGCATAGAAGTGCAGCTGATCAAAAGCCCATCGAAAACACCTCACCACTCACTGTTTTGCATCGAGCACGGAGCACTGAGTGTTCTTTTGCATCAATTCTTTGCTGTTTCAGGGATCACAAGCCCTTGTGTTTGGCACATCTGACTAGTAACAAGGGCATCGCTACTAGTAGCAACGGCATTTCTACTAGGAGCAACGACGCTACTAGTGGCTCCTGGCCCCACTACTAGTAACAAGAAGCTACCAAGACTTTCTCGAATGTGAAAGCATAGGACATCTGCTCTCTGCAATTTTTGTCAAAGCTATCGGTATGCCGAGAAGCTGGTCATGGACAGCAAGCCACTCCCGGAAAAGTTCCCGAGCACGTAGGGCTCACCATTGGGGATCTGACCGCAGCAAGCACTGAAGTCACTAAGCACGACAAAATTGGACCCTGTCAAACTGCAACTGGTGACTCTACATTGTAACAGGCTGCGTGCAAGGCAAAGTCCTAAATCCAATCTTTCAACACACGTGTATTTTCGTCTTTCCGAATCTGCCTGTAGGCCGCTGGTGACCAATCCACATGCTCCGCCGTGAGGACTGAAGCTTAGGCGATTTTGGGCGTTCAAGCCCCAACCAGTGAGAGGCCTCATTCGGGAAACGAACATTGGAGGACATCGGATGGATGTGTGTTTTTGTTTTGTTTTGGCTCTTCGGAAGTGATGAACCCATTCATTGCTCGGGCATCTTCGCGTGTTCAAAGCGGGTGCCAATCATATAGTTTTGTTTGTCACGGTTTGTCGGTTTGTCTGAAAGTGGCGAAGATTATTTGATCACCGTCTGAGGCGTCGTTTTCGCCTTTCCTTTCTTTTTATCTCGGGATTCCTGTCCGGAAAAGACTCTTTTTCTGATCCAAGTTCGAGCAATTTGAAGCGACCAGTCACTTGTTGGAACTCTGGGGTGAAAACATTGATAGAATCAAATTCAATATCGACATTGTGTATTTGTATATGACTGATTCAATACTGTGGATGTGTTTCGGTAGGTTGGAGGCCATGGCTCTCATGTTGGAGGCCATGCTATTGCAATGCCAAGAGCTTCTCGTCTTATGAGCCGAGGTGCAAATCGAAAAGAAGCCCTCGGAAGCGGCGCCAGGAATGGAGCGAGGGCCCTTCAACCAGCTGCCAACGAAGTAAGCTCCATTGCGATGCCACACTGCACCTCGGCAAGAACGTAACATCACAAAACACGAAAAATCAAATAAAAACAATGTATGTTGTAACATGTTGCAACCCCATACAGTATAGTACTTCTGCAACTGACGCAACTGCCAAGAAAATCATTCTGCGCTGGCGGAACATTTCTACACTGCTCACTCTCCTGGCCACTCTCGAGAAACTCTCTTTCTTCTTTCGCTCAGCTCAGGCACTCTTGTTCACAGTAGCACACAGTGTACATACCTCCGAGACAACTCTGAACACGGTTGTTTCGTGGATACAAGGATTCTACAAGAGCGCATGTTTGGGCCACGCCGTGTCATGCTAGGAGCAAAGGGTCATTGGCACTTCAACAAGACTCTACTCTGCCTCCATAGAAGATTCTCACGTTCTGCCACGTCCGTCCAGCAGAGGTACTGATTGGTGCCTGTCACTGAAGTGGTCACAGCGAGTGTGGGGCACACGAAGGCGGTATTTCGAGGAAGGATTGAACAAGTCTGTGAAAGGATACAAGTTTTGTTTTTGCTACTTAAGCAGCGAAACATGAAGAAGCATAAAGGAGACACAAACCATGTGTGGGTGGACCGCCGCGTGGTTTACACACAGGAATGCTAGTACACGGCAAATTCCACATTGTGAGATCAATCAATGTAGTCAGTTTAGAAACCAACATACTGGTGTTGCACGTCTTGAATCTGGAAGACGAGCCTTGCAATCTGTCGTCGAAAGGCAGTAGTGCCCTGAAAGGCTTGAAGAATCCTCTGATTCTGTGAAGCATTCAGCGTCCTGCACGATGCGACACAAGACGCTGAGCTATCGCTGTATCCAGCTTTCCACAGCTTTCCAGTTTTGCCGTTTCCAGCTGCACACTAAGGCACGTGCAATTAGCAACCGACACCGGCACCAAATCGATGGTGACGAGTTGACACTTCTTTTCATATGCAGTAATTACAATTCTAATTAAGTTATTCTTGTTACTACTAGTAAGGCACTTGTTACTAGTAGCGATGCACTTGTTCCTAGTAGCTTCTTTTCTGCAGTACACTTTGCGCATTCTGTTTCTTGTGAGACCTTCTTGTGAAGTTTCTTCTGCGTTCTTACACCCTTTCTAGCGGCTTGCCCTGTCCCATTAAAAAAACAACTACTTTGCCTACATTTCTTAATGGTTAGTGGCTGCAGTATGGAGATTGCGGCTACATTGATGGGGCACACTCTCTCTCTCTCTGTCTCAAAATACATCAAAATACATTCTATTCAAAATAATGCCTATCACAATACAAAGTTCAATACAACACAATACAAGAACTAGCAGCTAGAAGCTACTAGTAACAAGGGCATCGCGACTAGTAACAAGGGCATTACTACTAGTAGCAAGAAGCTACTAGTTCTTCTCTGCTCCTCAAAGTTTCCCAGTGGGTCGTACAAAATCTTCATCTCGACTTCGGAGCTTCCAGAGTTCCAACCAGCCTTGCTAGACGTCCCGATGTCACATTATTGTGTGTGCGCAGTCAGCCGCAACGGAGTCTCTATATAAGGGTCAAAACAGAGTTCGAAAAACGGTTTTAGAACTTGATTGGTTGGCCCTAGTCTATTTGATCTGGTGTGCGCATCGGCGGTCCCGACATTGGGCAGTGACCTCAAGTGAATGGCTGGAGGGGTATGCTACCATGGCCGAATGAGCCCGATCGCAGTTTGTCGGTTTTGAAGCTTCACTGAGCATTGGTTAACATTGATAAAGAAAAGCCGGTCGGAGATGACCTTTTGTCAGGCCAGTTGAAACTAATTTGACAATTCATCCCGGGCACCTGTACGCACTCAAAAGTCAAAAGTTAAAGCAAAATACACTGTCTACACGTTCCCTTGCAACATTGTACAACGTTAATACAACAAAATCTACATAATAGTAAAAAAGCTATATATATAATATACACATGTATAACTATACATATACATGCCACTGTGCGTGGTTTTGGTAAACATTGCAAATTCTGACAGCAAAATTCATAAATGCAGGCAAGCAACGTTGGGTCCATATACCTGGAAATCCATGACCTGCGCTAACGCGGACCAAAAACAGCCTCGTGGCCTTGTGAGCCAGCCATCAAACCGCCCGCTCCCCCAGCCTGATTGGCACGCATGGGGCTTGGCCGCAACTGCAGGATAGAAGTGTCAAAAGAGCCCACTTTAAACCTAAAAGCAAACAGCCAGCGGGGGCAGCGAGAATTCAACTTTGCGGTGAATTTCTTCCTGTTGGTTTGCCAGGATTCTCTGTTCAAACGGACGATGCAAAAAGCAAACAAAGTGTCGTGAAGCAGCAAAGCTGAAGCAGCGAAGCTGTGCAAAGTGCATCGAGGTTCTTTGTGCTAAGAAGCCAATTGGCAGCGACGCTGCAGGAATCCAGACACCTAGTCGGGCCGACGGTTTCCCCAACTCGTCCACACTAACTGGGTGCAGCCGAGGTGCAAACACACATCATAGGTCACAGGACGCTGGGCGCGGTTCTCGAAAGCAGGTGTTACTTGGAAGTTCGACCATTCCTGAGGAAAGGAAAAGATCAAGAACATACGGCAACATACAGCAACAAACAGATTTGAACCTCCAATCAACTCCAATCTTCATGGCCTCCATAACCTACTAGCTGTGGCCTCCAACCTAAATAGCGATGGCCTCCGACCTAATAGCCATGGCCTCCAACCTAACAGCGATGGCCTCCAACCTACTAGCAATGGCCTCCAACCTAATAGCGATGGCCTCCAACCTCCAACCCAATAACCCAATAGCGATGGCTTCCAACCCAATAGCGATGGCCTCCAACCTAATAGCGATGGCCTCCAACCTAACAGCGTCAAACAGATTGAACCTCCAAGCTTCAATCTGAGAAAACAAATAAAAAAAACGAAATAAGTCACATAAATGGCGATCGCCTCCAACCTACCAGCGATGGC